CACACCTGAAAAGACACTGCAAATTTTAACATCCACAGGTAAAAAACTTTGTTTATGTCTATTAGAAAGTCATACCTGAAACAGGTACCAGTGGATCTTCTTCATCAGAAGCTGCATGTGGCATTGTTAAAGGAAACAGAAAGAGTGCAAGCTTAGCTCTTTAAACAGGACTGTAAAAAGAAGTATTTGGTCTCTTAATTTAGCATAGCTGTTGATAAGAAAACAGTCAACATTCTGGGAGCAAGAAAAGCAAGGAAGATTTGGTTTAAAAAAATCACCACAAAGATTGCTAAAACAAAAGGCCTTACTCCTTCTTCACTGTGCATTAACTTTCAGCCTGTAAAGATTATCTCAGAGGTCACCTTTGCAAAAGATCCCAGGGACCAGCCCCAGTTACAAGAGCAATTACTAAGATAATGAACTAATAATATTTATTTAAATTTAAACAGTTTATATGGAACATCTTGATGTGTAGGGAAAACAAATTCTGAAACAGTGTATATTGATATTGTAATGAAATCTATTTGGGCAATACATTCTAAAAAACATAAATGAGGACAAATGCAAAAGGTTTCAAACTGGTCATTCTCATCTGATCATCACATGATGAGTAATCATAAAAGCTTGAGGACTGATTTTCTTTAAGTTTCAAGAACTTTCAAATATCCCAGAGGTTTAACTATTGAATTACTTGACCACAGAAAACACTAAAATCAGAAACAACATGGCACCATATGGAATTACTTGACCACAGAAAACACTTTAAAATCAGAAACACCACGGCACCATATTATTTGTGCTATTAGCAGTCACTCTTACTGTTAGCAGTTGCTGAACTTGAATCCCTGCCTCCTGAAAGCCTAAAAATAGGACTCAATATAACTAAGGGAAGGGTGTAAATCATGCTGCCTTCCTTCAAGGAGCAGTTTTTCATTTAGCTGAAGGTAAGGATTGTTATTCCCACATGAATAACTAACATACTTGTGACTTAATCCCAGCCAGCAACTCGGTACCACACAGTCACTCCCTGTCCACCTCCCTGCCCCAAGTGGGGAGGAAAACCAGAGAGCAACAGTAAACCTCATGGGTAGAGATAAGAAAAGCTTAATAACTGAAACAAAATAAAATAGGACAATAATAATAACTGCAACATAGGGGAAGAGGGAGAGAGAATTAAAACCTGAAAGAAACAAGTGATGCACAGCATAGCTGCTCACTGAACAATGCCCAACCCTTTCCCCAGCAGGAACTGGCAGCTCCCAGCCCGCACTCCCCGCTTTATGTACTGGACATGATGTTCTGTTATGGAATCTCCCTTTGGCCAGCTCCTGGACATGATCCCTCCCAGCTCCTTCTGCATCTGCTCGCTGGCTGAGCACGGGTCACCCAAGTCCATGTTTTTGGGTAAGCACTGCTGAGCAACATCCAAAACATCAGCATGTTATCAGAATTATCCTCATGCTAAATACAAAACACAGCATACCAAGTACAAGGAAAAGAATTAACCCTATTCCAGCTGAAACCAAGGCAATACTGAAGTGGAAAACAAAAGCACAGGGCACAAAATTCTCTTCCACTAACTTTTGTTTATACCCCTTTACTTTCCTCAGCCTTCTATGGTTGGCCAATTATCTCAATTGTCACATTTCTACTAATACTCAAATTTCTACTAATTACTCGATTATCTAATTTCTCTACTGTTAAGAGATAAATGCATTTAAGGTTTTGCAGCTGCATTCATGCAATAAAGTAAAATTGTAAAAATATTTCAGTGACACGGTACAAACTCTTGCCTTAACTAAAATTTGATTCTGAGAGCACCATCTCAAAAACTTAATTTAGAAAATTACCACAGAGTGGAGGAAATTAGGAAAGTCTAGGAGTTTCCCCTGTGGACAGCAACTTCAATCAACACCCACTGTCCATCACACGTCTGGTACTTGTCACACTGGAAGGGCCTGATCACAGGCTCACTTATGATCTTGTTGATGCACTTTATCACTCACAAAAAATTATCACTCATCAGCCTCACACCAGTTTAAAAACACATTCAGTGAGTACTGCAGTCAAAGCCAGCTCTCTCTACAAACACTGAGAGCATTTCTGCTCTCACATGTGAGCTGCAGCCTGCCACCTCCAGCTGCCAGAACACACTGTGGGGGCACAGCACGGGGAGAGGAAGCTGAGCAAACTCCACGAGGAAGGCACTGTGCGTACCCTCTTTTCAGAAAGCACCAAGATGGATCCAAAGTCCAAGTCTGGATCACAGCCCAGCCCAAACAGCTGTGTCAGCACAGCCACGACAGCAAGCTGCAGGGCACTGAGAAGTGTATGTTCAGCTCACACTGCTTCAGGAAACAACAAACTTCAGCACAGGCAGTTCCTACTCAACTGACATACGGTTAATCTGTGTGTCAACACATGGCTATAGGAAATAAAACGATCTGCCTAAACAACATCCTGCTTTTGGAGTGTGCCTCTGGTACTGCCAGCTGCTGTGGACAAATTCCTAGCACCATACAAAGACTAGTCGAAGTTGTCCCTATTACTCCCCCCAGCTACCAGGACGACCCTCCTGGTGAAGCTTTGCAGCCCAGTGTATCAGAACTACTCAGAGTTAGAGCAGGCTGCCTCAATCAGCTGGACTGAAAATCACAATGACTCAGAGGCTGATTCATAAGCAACGTCCTTGCCTCAGAGTAACAGACTGGGGACAGCACCAGCGTCAACCTTCTAACATTAACCCACGGGCACGTGCCTCACAGACTGCCAGTAAGGCAGGTGTAGTATTAAAAGCTGTGTACCACCACAGCTGAAGTTCAGTGAACAGCAGAGAGAGGCACTGGAGAAGCTCAACACCTGGTACAGCTCACCTACACAACCTGCCTTCCTGTGCCAAGTCAATTCAACAAGGGTGGAGAGAACTTCAGTTTTCCAAATGTATTAAATGTATTAAACCAATCTACCAAATTTCTCCTCTTTTGTTGAAAGCAAAAGTGATGCACAGTATAGCTGCTATTATCCATTATTTTTAAATTGTGCCACATGCTTTTCTAAGAATTTAAAACTTTTCCAAGGTCAGAGGAAACACTGCCTATTCATCAAAACATGTACAGTGGAAACGGTTGTCAGAAAAAAATTCATTCCTTGGAATATCATGATGCATGAGGCCACTGCTGGGCACTTTAAAACATATTTAGTTATAGGAAACAACCTGTTGACTGATAAAAATAGACTGTCAATGAAATTGCATCAACACTTCCACAGGTGAGCAGAGTGGTGACAATGGCAATAAATCCGGCATGTGCCACACACCTTCATCCCATTCGCAGCACAGAAAAAGTTGTAGACAGTCTTTTTTACTTTACACAGATGGAAAATCATAACAACATGCTCCCTCAACAGGCCAGGGGATGGTTGGCCCTTTCACATTGTCCCAGGGAGTGTGCAAACATAAATAAAAGAGCACAGACACGTATTCTTCTTTCCAATCTCTTCCAGTTGATGCTGACATCCCACTTTCAGTCTGACTAACAGCAGTGCTTCAAACCCCTCATAACTGGAACTAAATTGTCCCCTTCTAAATTTCCACCAGGCCAGACTATCAATTCTAGCCCAATGACTTCAAGTCACTGAGGCTCCAACTCAGCCACACAAGCCCAAACAGCAATGGCAGCTCTTGGTTCCCTGAGCCACACAAGCACATCTCTCCGCAACAAGGCTTGAACAGGCTGAGCTCCCAACACCACAGCCACCACCCACACCATCTACGTGTCCAGCCCCACGTAGCCTCCCACAACAGGAGCCTGCAGGTCCTCTGCAGATGAAACCACCCTCACCTCACACCCATCCCTCAGTGACAGAGCCCTCCAAGCCCCACAGAGGCTCACCCAAAATGTTGTGCTTGTAGTCAAGTTTAGGTGCCACAAAAGACATATCTCTTCTCTACTCAGCTTCTAGCCTCAGTTTCAAAGAATCACAGAATCAATGAGAGTGGAAAAGACCTCTGAGATCATCGAGCCCAACCTGTGACTGGACACCCCCGTGCCAACCACTGAGTGCCAGCTCCAGTCCTTCCTCAAACACCTCCAGGGACAATGACTCCTCCACCTCCCTGGGCAGTCCATTCCAGTGCCCAATCACCCTTTGTGTGAACAAATGCTTTCTAATGTCCAACCTTAACCCCTCCTGAAGCAGCTTAAGACTGTGTCCTCTTGTCCTGTCACTTGTCACCTGTGAGAAGAGCCCGACCGCCACCCGGCCACAACCAATTCCTGTCAGGCAGTAGTAAAGTGCGATAGGGTCACTCCTGAGCCTCCTTTTCTCCGGGCTGTTCAACCTCATTCTCTCCATTGGTTCCCTGACAAGGCCCCATAAGCTGAACGCAATTTCCCCATTTCCTATATATTTACTCGCCCCGAGATTTCACAGCTGGGTCACACTGAAGAGGACTTACGACCCTCCCTTCTCTCCCAGGTCACTTTTGCTATGAAATCCCGCGTAACCCCTACAAACCGGCACATACCCACTCCCTCTCCCCAGGCTAAGCCCCCTCCACACTCGCCAGCGCAGCCCTCACATAGCCTCTGCCACGGCCACAGAACCCCACCCGACCCACAGCGCCGCACCGGTTCCACGCCAAACCGCTCAACAGGCCGCCCCGCATGCCCCCGGCGGCCCTTCCCGCCGCTGTCCCCTCACACCGACCCCCAGGCAAGGATACAACTCCGGCCCCGGCGAGCACCTCCACCCACACCGGCGGCCGCCGCCGCCATCTTGAAACAGCCGCCACTCCCCGCATACCCCCGCCGCACCCCCGGCTCTCGCCTCCCATTGGCTGTCTGCGCCCGAGGAACGCGAAGGGTTGCGAGGCATGCCGGGAATAGTAGTCCTCTGAGCGCCGGCGGCCGCCAATGGCCGACCAGGGCACCGCCCGGAAGAACTATTACTCCCAGCGTACCCTGCGGCTACGGGGCAGTAGAAAGGCCAGAAAGGCATTGTTCTCTGTCAGGCTGGGTAGAGACAGGAGGGTCCCGCGGAGGATGGAGGAAAAATTCCCCACCGGCATCAAGCCCTACCTGGACAAGTTCACCTTGGGCGTCACAAGGATCTTGGGTGAGTGGCGTTGAGCTACAGCCCACGGGGCGGGGGGAGGCCGGGGGCAGGCCGTGGGCGGGGGGAGCCACCCGTTTGTGACAGCCCCTCCTGTGAATCGCTCAGCTGAGCAGCCTATGCACACACACAGACACATCCTTGTTTCTGGAACAATGGCATGAGTCCCGGATCTCTCGACTTTAGGAGTTTCATAAACACCAGAGAAGGAGAAGGTGGTGTTTTATGAAAAATCATGGAATCATTGAATGTTAAAAGATGGGAAGAGACCTCAAAGATCATCCAGTCCCAGCCCTGATGCCATGTGCAGGTTGCTCAAGGCCTTATCCAGCCTGGCCTTGAACACTGCCAGGGTTGGACATCCCCAGCTTCTCTGGGCAAACCTGCCAGTGTCTCACCACCATCAAAGTGAAAATCTCCATAATACCCAACCCAGATTTCCCCCCCGTTCAATTTGTGTCCATCGCTCCTTGTCCTCTCACTTAAAGTTCATAATGAATAGTCCCTCTCCAGCTTCCCTGTAGGCCCTCTCCAGATATTGCAATGTTCCTATGAGGTCTCCACACAACCTTCCTGTGTAAATCGTGCCTAAATTTGATCCTCTGTGGTAAGGTAGGGTCAGCAGGGAGTGTGCCCCGTGAAGGGGAATTTGGCATGGTTCATCAGTATTCTGGTAGAAGGCCGATTTGTCAATCTGCTTGGGATCAGATCCCCATAAATAGTTGCCCTGCAGTTCATTCCCATATTGAGACTTGTTCCACAAAATGCCCTGATTGTCATTTCCAGGTTTTGCTCAGATATTGAGCCTTCTTGCATCCCCTCAGCTCCCTCTGAAGTTCAGCAGGATGCAAGGCATCCGAAGGAGGTATTCTCAGACAAAACTTTACTCATATCAGTGGAATCACAAGGATTTGTGCAAGTATTTGTGTGTGCAAAGGATTTCAACATTAGACCTTTCATACATCAGCAGCACAGAGCACAGGACTGTCTTATTTCTAAGGCTGAAAAGCCATACATCTATCCCAAACTAGGTGTACAACAAGATTGCAAATTGCAGTCCTGGAATTTCTTCCTGGCAATCTTAGAGCCAAAAGTGAGCTCTGTTATTATCTCACCCCAAAGAGGCATTGAGTTTCACCTGATAACCTCAGTATCTATAGTTGCACATGGGTTTGGATAGCTGCTCAGACAGATGAGATTAAAAGATCAGGGTTAAATTCTTTCTCTGAGCTTCAGTGAGGACAGGATTTCACCCTCAATCTCTGATCAGTGTTGTCATACTGACTTATTATTAGACTTCTTGAGAGAGGTGGTGGGTGGATTTTTTTCCTGTTTGTTTGTTTTGTTGATTGTGAGGTCAGGATAACGTTATCTCTGTTCTGTGAGTGAAACTGATGATGGTCATCATGGCAAAAACTTCTTTGAAGTAGCTCTTTAAAAAATTACTAGCCCTGCCCACATTTTCACCACCCTCAGATGTGTGAGAGCTGTGAGTTGTGAGCTGTGTCCGAATGTTGTGTTGCCATATAAATTGTTTTGTTTTGGGTGGGTGTGATGTCTGCACCAGCGGGACATGGCAATGCAGGTATGGCTCTGAAAGTCCTGCAATGTCCCTTTCACATGGAAGGTGTTTCCTGGTTTGTGTTTTTTTCTTTTTCTCTCTGTGTCGCTACAACTTGTAGTATGCAATACAGCAATGTCCATCTCAGTGATGTTTTACTCATTTTCTCTGTCTCTCCACACCTTCTGGGAATTTGGCACATTTTTTCCAGTGAAGTAGTCCAAGGCATTTCAACTGTGTCACTAAATTAATTAGAATTGCTTAGCTAATTGGGAAACATAACCAGTCTGTTCAGTGCTTGTTTCTTTCAAATAACAAAGGGTATCTCGTTCAGAGTGATGTCTCACTCTCTATTTATTACTACTAGAAACTATCTTACTTTAAATCTTTCAGAAAGCCTTATGAAGTCACTTGATATTTTCTGCCTAAAGTAAAGTACAATCAGACATTGTTTTGTTGGTTTGGGGTTTTTTTTAACTTTAGTCTCTGTGGAAGTCCCTACAAGAAGGGGTTTTTCTTATAAGCACTGTGGAAGCTATACCTTGAGGGTAAAAAAGGGAGAGATCTTTCCCATTGCCAATGCTCATTTTGGTGAAGTTCTGTGAGTAATAGAAAATTCCAGAAAGATTTATTATTCATAACTAAGTCAGAATGGAAGGTGTTAGCTCTTCTGGAATGCCCAAGATGGAACCATACTTCACTGTTAGCACTCTGTATTAGATAAGAATGTAACTATTGAAACATTTTAAAATTAGGCTGAGAGTTTAGCCAGCTTACAGGCAGTATTAGCAATACTGTAAAGACTGAAAGTCCTGTGGTTTTCTGCTTCATCTTTGTGTCACACCATTACATTCACTGTTTCTGATTAATACTGCAAAGTGGTTTTGGGAGCTTCCAGATGAAATGTCCTAAAAATAGGGCAGAGTTTGCTATGATCTTGATTCAGATTAATTTATAGGGTGTAGTCTGAAGAAGTTAAGTTTTTTCATGTATCTAGGTGACACTAAAGTGGCTTCTTCATTTCCTTCATGTGGAAGGAAAAACAACTCATTGCAAAGTTTACCCAAATGTTCAGTGGCGCTCCTGTCCATACCTATGTGCAGCTGTTAAACATGGTCTTCAGTTTACCCACAGTATATTTTTAATATAATGTTTGGGCTTTTAAGATGGAATTTCTCTTTCTTTTGATGTTGGATTTGGTTCAGACCTCTTTAGAAGTTGCATTCTCTCATTTCTAGACTTCTTCTTTGACTGATATGATATTTAATCTTCTGTCATTCCAGCCAAGTTGTTGTGCATGATGAATTAAACATCCCTGCTGTTTTCTTTGATCACAGAAATAACAATTACTCTGTTATTATAATCTCCTCCACTTGTCATAAGGTTTGCATAGCTTAGATGGAAAAGGCTGGTTAGGTAATTGATTCCACTCTCTTGTTCAGCCATCTTATATTTGAGCAAGGAACAGATCACCCCGCCTTGGACCCACCTACCAGAAGTGAAACTTTGTGAAACCGCAGAGCCTTCTGTATGTTGGAGGTCCCCTTTGGCCAGACAAATTTACCTGTGTGACCGACTATGAATTTTTTTTAATGTCTTTAACTTGGAGTTTATTTATCTGATGCCATGTTTTTTCTTTTCAATTATCTGACAATGTAACAATCAGTATTTCCAACTGAAGTGGAGGCTTCCTGAAACTGAACGCCACTGTTCCACTAACAGAACAGGCAAGAACAATGCTATTGATAGAATTAAAAGCCTGGCATTGAGGATAAAAAACAAACCAAAGCTCTCTAGTGCCTGCTTTTCCTGTCTGGTGCACTGTGTATGTTTTACCAAAAAGCAATTGTAATGTGTGTGACTGCTTTAGGGGCCAATACTTTCACAGCAGAGCCAGTCTTGAAAGCCTTGCATAGTTATCACTTCTATTCCATGGCCCTGTCTGCTGGGCTTGCAGTCCCCACAACAATTTAGTAGTCTTTCTGGACTTGATCCAAAGAGAATTATGTCAGTGGGAATTATTTCAGTTGGCTGTGGATGACATAAAACATTATAAAATAGTAATTATAAAGGAGTCTATTCTGCCATCACACACCTGAAAGCACCATGTGACTTAGTATCTTACATTTATATAGCATTCTTTCCCATAAAATATTCAGAAGATTTCTATAGATTGATAGGAGTTCAGTGCTTGTAACAAATTTTCATGTGTCCAACTGAGGTTCCAGAGGACTGATGTTTGCTCATGCAGATCCCTTCAGCATGCTCAGGTTCTGTGTCTGTCCAAACCCACTGAATCTAGAGCTGAAATGTGCCTGCCCTTGTGGAACAGGGTTGTTACCAGTTCACAGCAGCACTGCGCTACATCTTGTGCCCAGGTGAGAATATCCTACTCAACAGAAACCACAGGGCATGCTTGTAAATAAGGATTCATCCCCCTGTAGGAGTTTTCCTCAAAACCCATCACTGATTTTTTTTTTCCATTTTCCATTAAAACCTCTGCAAAAGATCACACCTTGAAGACAAATGGGGTGTGCTTACATCATAGAATCATAGAATGGTTTGAGTTGGAAGGGACCTTAAAGATCATCTTGTTCTAACCCCTCCCACCCTGGGCAGGAATGCCACCCACTAAATTAGTGTGTGTAGACATATCATGATATGTGCATATATATATATGTATTTAAAAAAATCAAAGGATAACATTTTGTTCAGCATTAGACATCCTCATGCCAAGACATGCAAAGTAGAATTACAGACGAAAGAAAGTGACTGCTCAGTCACCAGCACAGTGCTTGCAATCATTAGTGCCTTTTCCGTGGCTGTCACTCAGATTAGTTTGCAAAATTGTCTGTCTCACAGTGTTGCTGTCACCCATGCCAGCTGCAAACGTGCTCCTCTTTTCCTTTCAGAGACTTCCCCAGGAGTTGCTGAAGTGACTTTTGTGGAAAAGGAGCCAGCCGAACGCCACACAATCGTCTCTTGGGAACAAGTGAGTATTTTCCTGGTAAAACTGCAGTGAGGTCAGTTTGAATGTGCAACAGCCCACGGAGAATGTCAAGTGCAATGGCAACTTTGTGTTTATGAGACAACTTGTTACCAAGTTTGATGTATAGTGCAGCCTAAGCAGGTGTTGCTGGGTTTTTCTTAATCAGGTATCACTGTTTTAGGCTGTCACATGTACCTGATTTGTTAGAGAAACATCACCACTGTGGGTACATTCAGCATGACAGCTCTAAAAAGAAACCACATAACTGTAGTAGGCAGCTACAGTGGTGACTCAGTGGGGAGCAAACAGTTTTCTGACTCAGGTCCGAAAATATTTTCCAACTCCCTTTCAAACAAAATGAAGCAGTGCTTTATTATCCATGGCCATTAAAGGTAAGGCCTCAAGCTGACAAATAACACTGAGCTACCCAGTTTGTTCCAGTTATCTTTTTCTATTTTTAGTCTCAGTTATTCGCTTCAGTTTCTCATATCCCTTTCTTTTACATCTTTGGCTGCCCAACCCAATCTCTTCCCTAGGGCATGTCCCGTTGCCTGTTGTAGAAGACTGTGAAGGACACGTGCTACCTTCATTCTGCATTATCTGACCTTACTGCATTAGTCTGTGTGATCAGAGGGCTCCTGAAAAGTGTTGTGTGACTCAGGGCATTTTCATTCCCCTTTTGGAATATACATATCTTCATAAATCCCGTGGCCATGGTTGAATAACTGCTCGGTAGGTATTGTTTGGTTAGGGATGGGACAGCAGAAGCACTGTGGCCCTTGGAAAGGGACATGGCAGAGAATGGAGTTGAGTGAATCATCCTCCCTCTGCTCTAACCCTGGCTGTGGCCTAAAGCAGCTGCTCCCAGAGACTGCTCTTACCACTGCATAAAATACCTTCCCCTTTGACACCAAGCCATTTACTGCTTTTCCTAAACAGTGAGGAAAAGTCTTACACTAGTTTTGGCAATGCTTTATTCCAATTAGTGACATTTATCAAGAGCATGTATAATATATATATATATATATATATATATATATATATATATATATATTCTAGGTCAGAATGTATGTGGTGTAAACCTGTGTGTTACTGAAACTTGTCCAGAAGTCAGCAACTGTGGTCAGGGAGAAATGTCCTGTTTTTCAGGTTTGTGTAAACCGATCCCTGGTTTCCTCTAGCTGTTGTTCAGGTATTGAGTTACCTGAGCTGGAAAGTTTGAGGCACCATGACTGCAAGCCAGATCAGGTCTGGGAACACAGAGTAATATTTGCTCATTCTTCTGTTGAGTGGATAGGACTGCTTCTCCTGGACATGGTGCTCATTCCTCTCATTTTCAGGTGCTGCTTATCCTCTAAACTAAAATGGGTTTATGTCACAAATGAGCTATTCTTGTAAAGCCAAACAAATGCTGTAGCCGAAGCACTTCATTCAAGAGAAGCCAAAACAAATTTCAGTTCCCACCCTCCCCTCCTGCCCAGCAATGGACTAAGTCAATTGTGAATGTAAATGTTGAAAATTAAATGAGTACAGTTGTGTTGGACTTCTAAGAGTGAAGGACTTTGCTGTCTGTTTCTTCAGTTTTGGTTCCCTTTGAGTTGACTTTTTTTTTTAATTAAAAAAAATAAAGCTCCTTTCTCAAATTAAAAGGTAACTGGATTTTTTTTTCCTTTTTTTTCCTCTAGCTCTGAGGATGAAGTGTAAATCTAACCCAGTCTACACAGTTGCAGGACAAAATGTCCTGCCGTGATGATTAGGTGGAATGCACTCAACAATTCACAAAGATGAGCTTGTTCCTCATTTTTCCTGAAACTTACCTTTCTTGAATTTGAATACGTTTGTTTTTATCGGATTTACAGCCACTAGGTGGCAATACTTACACACATAATCATTTCTCCCTGGCTGAGATTTTTAACAGGATTTCACCAGAGTATGTTTTTAACTTCCCTCTACATATTTCGTTATGAAACTATGAAACTATTTTTCTGTGATGGAGGAAAAACTGGTGAAACTGTTCCCAAAACTACATTATTTTTCCCCCAACAACTTCTCTATTAAGACTTATATTGTGGGGCATTTCACAGACTCACCAAATAAAAGCTTTATTCTTTAGATTATTGTTTAATGGAATAAATTTTTCCAGTCCCATTTCAGTTTTGCAAGGAAAGATTGCTTTACTGAGAAAAAAATCCAGGTGTTCAGAAGTTCTTAAAACAAAATCAACCTTTTAAAAATTATTAATTAACATATTATTTTATTCATGCTGGGTATATATGCATTTTTTGTTTCCACCAGCTGTGTTTTCTAAATTGTGCTGTGCCATGTTTGTGCTACTATGTAACTGGATACTGCTGTGTTTTAAAATCTCACCTTGTTGAGATTAAAATAATCTTTAAAATCTTAAGCTTGTTGAATGTCCCTTGGCTGCCATGAAGCTTTGCAGGGGAGGCTGAGCTTCATGACAGGAGTTAGTGCAGTAATGCTGTAGGAGAGAAGAAGAAATTTTTCCCAATGCAGAAAGAGCTGCTAAGTGTTACATGTCAGGAAATCGCTCCTGAAGAATTTATTGGAAATCAGCACACACACAAAAAGCTTAAGGTGTACGATTGCCAAGTGTATTTACATGGGTAAAGCAAGAAGTAAAAGAGGGAGTAGAGACAGTTACCTGGTCACCAGAAAAACAGTGCTAATAACTATATCATTCTAAGAAATCTTTCCCACTCCTAAAATTAGGCTGGCAATGGCCCTACTCCCATGCACGTGCAATTTTTAGAAATGGGTGTTACAGTGAAATACTGCTAGGAGGCACTCTGATGCAGTGTCTGAATCACATGTTCTTTCTTGCATCAGCTGAAAGAAAAATGAGTCACTCACATCCTCGTTTTGGTTTTCAAAAAATAGAAAATTGCATTTTTGTTAGAGGGACACAGGTACCCGAGACCATTTTCTCTTGTTCTTCTCACTTGTTACTTGGGAGAAAAACCTGACCCACACCTGGCTTTCAGGGACTTACAGTACCTTTGAGGTGCTAGAAAGTGAAAAGATCTCCCTCAGCCTCCTCTTCTCCAGTCTGAGCACTCCCAGCTGCCTCAGCCACTCCTCTCAGGCCTGTGCTCCAGACCCTTCCCCTGTTTCCTTCTCTGGACACACTCCAGCCCCCTCAGTGTCCTTCTTGCTGTGAGCAAACAAAGCTGAGCTCAGATCCCAGCACAGGGGATGGGCCCTGCCCTGCTCCTGCTGCCCCTCCATGGCTGACGCAGGCCCGGGGCCTTTGGCCTCCTTGGCCCCCTGGGCACCCCCAGCTCGTGTCCAGCCCCTGGAAACCGGCACCTCCAGGGCCTTTCCCACTCAGCAGCTTCCCAGCCACGCTGTCCCAGCTGGAGCTGCAGGGGCTGTGACCCAGGGACAGGAGCCAGCACCTGGCCTGGTTGAACCTCACACAATTGGCCCTGGCCCATGGATCCAGCCTGGGCAGATCCCTCTGCAGAGCCCCCCTGCCCTCCAGCAGATCAGCACTCACACCCAGCTGGGCCTTGTCTCAAACTGACTGAGGGGGCTCTTGATTCCCTCACTCAGATCATCAGTAAAGATAAAAAACAGTACAGCACAGAGCCCTGGGGACACCACTAGTGACCAACTGCCTGCTGCAAGTGATTCCATTCACCAGCATCCTCTGGGCCAGGCCAGCAGCCAGTTTAAACTCAGAGAACAGAGCATCTAAGCCACAAGCAGCTGGTGTATCCAGGAGAATTCTGTGGGATACAGTGTCAAAGACTTTTCTAAAGTTCAGGAAGTCAACATCCCTGGACTTTCCCTCATCCACTAAGAGGGTCACTGTGTTATAGAAGGAGATTGGGTTGGGCAGTAATGCCTCTCACAAACCCATGCTGGCTGGGCCTGATCTCCTGGATCTGCTGTAGGTGCCATGTGATGGGCACTCAAGATGATCTCCATGGCTTCCCCCACACTGAGGTCAGGCTGACAGGCCTGTAGTTTCCTGGTTCCTCATTCAAACCCTTACACACAGTCCAGGAACCTCCTGAGCTGCTCCCTCTCTACTGCATAGTGTTTCCAGCACACGTGTGGAATGTCATCCTCCTTGCTTCTACAGCATCTCTTTTTGGGTCTCTTTTTGAAGTATACACTCAGGATGTGCACCTTCAACAGTCCTTCTTGACAGCCTTCATGTCCACCCTCAATATTAGCCAAGCCTCCCATCCCTGATCCCCATGAGCACAGGATCTACCCATCTTGAGCTTGCCTTGTGGCTGTGACTGTGGGAGAGATGGGAAGTGGATCCAGCAGGGCCAGTGCATGAGGAAAGCTATGTTTCTTCAAGCTGCATGGTGGGGAACAGGCTGGAGGACTTTTGAGAAGTAAGTAGTGTTTCTTACACGGTGTTCCCCCTCTTGTTAAGCTTTATAAAGTATTGAAAAACTGGCTGCACAACAATATCCTCAAGAGGATATTGAATAGGAGTCCTGTTCTCTGCAGCAGGGGATCCAGTCTACTGCCCTGGGAGCTCCCCAGGTCAGATTTATTAAAGGTGCAAGAACATTTCAATATGTTATATAAATTAACATCAACATTCACTGACAGCTAGGACAAACCAGCCATAAAACTGCAGGACATTAAGGAGAGAGAAGGGTGGCTACTGATGTGGTCTAATTCTTGGAAGCCCTGAGAAGTGACATGAATGCCTTCCTTCTCCCCAGAAGTTGGGTAAAACTCATTCATGCTTTTAGAGAAGTCTCTCTAGAGCTATATGTTTTGATTGCTTTCTGTTTCTTTAGTATATTTGCTTGAGAGACATTCTTTCAACAGTGTTTCAAGTGAATTGCCATATATCAGGGTTCTTAGCTTTGGATCCATTTCTAATCAGGTCCTGGCCACAAAAATCCGGTTCTCGTATTTTTCTCTGTACTAGGTGGACTGTGCTTTCTTGGGAGACTATTTTGAGATATTACAAAGAACAAAGAAAAGGAATAGACCTCTCACACCATATGAAGCACTTGGGATATTTTGTTTTATGAACTGATGAGTATAACCAGATAACTGGAATGAAAACAGCTGCTTGCCAGGGCTGTGGTTAAGCCAAGTCTGACATGTTATTTACAAACAGTGTTATTTTGTGGGGCTGGAGAACACAACCATGACAACTACCAGTTGAGTGAGAAAAACATAGAATTTGATAAGCCATTTTTAGTATATAGTGTCTTGTTTCTCTGACTTCTGTCAGATTACTGTTCTGATGTCATATGGTCATGTGACTAAGCACAATGTGACAGATCAATCAATCCTTTCCATCAGATGAGAGAAATGGATGCTAATGAAGTTTTCTATTTACAGGCCTTTTTCTGTAGACCCCAGACCTGCTCTGGTACTGCATTTTCTACCCGTATATTTTGCACCAGTATGGTTTAGAGAATCCTGAAATAAATTCAGACAGCGGCCATCTGGAGAAACAGTCACATGTTGATCTTTTTCAAAAGGAGGATTCAGAGCATAAAACCTATTCAGATTTGATTTTTCTCTTGTCTTAGCTATGTTTGCTAAATTGGGCTGTGCCTGAGTTGTAGCAGGATTTATGTGGATACTACAGTGGAAGTTTTTAAACTTTAGATTTTGTCATCCTAGTGGATCTGGTTCTCCTGCTTGGAGAAGAACACCCACTGAAGCCAGGAGACCGATTCACATATGTGTTTTTACTGCTGCCGTGAATTAGTTTGAATTGGGGGATTTGAAATGTAGTCGAAGTGTTATGTTAACTTTGGTACTCTGCTGAGGCTTTGTAGCAGGTCTATCATACTTTCTTTCTTCATAGTTTTAGCCATAGTCACTGTGCTTACAGGTACAGCTTGAAACTGGAAGTGATGAAAGCACAGCATGAAATTATAAATATTTAGTACTGAGGAGAACCACAGAAGAAGGTGTGTTTGTGAAAGGTATTTGAAGAACTTCAGATATGTCCATGTGGTTTATTAATCACCTTAAACTTACCACCAGGTCCTCAGCCATCAGCAGACTCTTGTCGTAGGATGTTAAATTCTTCTAAAAACAGCCTCTGTAGTGTCAGGTTATCTGTGGACCCTGAAGATTTTCTCTATCTGGATTAAGAGGGCTCTGAGCTAGTGACCAGGCTGCTTGATGAAGCAAGTGAAGTGACCTGCCCTATTTCAAGCTGCAAAGCCATTAGTGTCTGGGACTCTTCAGTAGCAGTCAATCAACATTAATGGATGTGCTTTAAAAGTAAACTAACAAGCACAAGGTTGTGGGCAGATTAGGTGCTCCTACATAGTGTGTACACCCCAGTTTAGGAGACAGAGACTGTAATAATCCAAAGAAAGTGTCAGTGAATAAGGCTTTAACAGGCAGAAAGGCTGTTCTGGTCCTAGGGGAGGGAGGACATGTGAACAGGATGAGACCAGCACCTTCCCTTGCTCATCCAGCAGCTGATGACTAGAGGCCAGCATTGCAGCTGGATTCACAGCTGGCAGGTTGCTCTTGCTGGATAGGTACATCTCTCTTCTCTTGAAATGTTAAAAAATTCATGCCCCAAGTGAAGCAGAGGTATTTGAACTGCATGTGCATCTTCCTTTTCCATAGCTACTGGTTACTAGAACATTCTGTCTTTATTTTATGAAACTTTTCCACAAGGAGAGTGGTGCAGCCCTTGGGCAAGTCAGCACACACAGATTGTGGAACCTTAATCACGGGACACTCTCCTGAGTTTTGAGGTCTGATACTTTGGGAGCCCTGAATGTGACTATTTTAAATTTGAACTCACTGGAGTCAATCTGTTCTTTCTCTAAAAGTTACAAACAAGTAACTCTTTTAGTCATGCTTGTTGTTTGTGTTATTAAAACTGTCAGGCTTCCATTCTATTTGATTTTTTGTACTTGACACTTCAGCAAGAGCAGAGAGTCACTGGTCTGCAGCCAGTCCTGTCCCCAGGAGGAGGGTCAGCAAATGCCTATGGTTCTTTGGGCTTCTTGTTGTTCTGAGGGTTAAGCCTTTATCCTTCCATCCTTGGATTTGCAGCTCAGCTGAAGAGTCTAAGTTAAGAACAACTCCTTCCACAACCAACACAGGCATAGGAGAAGTTTTCTGGTTCCTAGAAACTCAAACTCACTGGGATTGCTTCTTTCACTGGTGGCTCAGAAGGAAGTAGGCTTAGGAGCCACAGCCATTCACTGAAGTTTGGAGGGACAAAGCCAGACCAGCAGATTTCTGAGTCTGGCTTTGCATGTGCCTGCACACATACTTTTTGTTAAGTGAAATGTCAGATCTACTTGAGTATGTGCAACTTTTGAGTATATGCTTCTTACACCTACTTGGAGCTGAAATCCCCCAGAAGAGGAGAGTCACTGTGCTAATATTGTACATGCTTTAGTGGAATAGGTAAGTTTAGTCTGATTTTACTTAAAGCAAAACCCTATTATTTTAAGCCATATATATGAAAAAGCTAATTGTTCTGATTTATGTGAGTTTGGAGTGGCTGCTAATCTCAAAAGGTAACACGATGTCTCAGTTTGGGAACAATACTGTAATAATTTTGTGATGACTAACTGCTCATTGTGAAATTTTCCCAAGCTACCTTTGTTAAGACTAGCAGAGTTCCGAGAAATACACAGTTTTTTCCTCGAGGCTTTAAAATGAGATATTTGAACTGATTTGAGTCACCTTGGAGTTAAGCAGGGAACTTGGTGGCAAATATTTCTGTACCAATTTTCAGTTGTTCTTAGGGTTTGGTGCATGTTCTGCATTTTCCCATTACACTTTGATTGTTATTTGCAGAAAAACTCCTGTGTATTACCTGAGGATTTAAAGAACTTCTATCTGATGACCGATGGCTTCGAGATGACCTGGAGTGTGAAGACTGATGGTGAGTCCCTGTGTCCCCCTGCACTGACAAGCTCAATTCATTGCAGCCAGTCCTCCTTCTACAGAACCTCTTTAATTTCCAACTTAGTTCATGCCCAATCAATACACATCTCTCAGGAAAAAATCTATTGCTTGTATATTCTGGCATCCCACAAAAGAGGTGCAGACACTCTTTCTTTCTGGCAAGAAACTAATTATTCATGACATAAATTCTGTTCTGTAATATACTGGCCATCTGTTGACACTCAGATTTAGGTGTGTCATTTAAACCTCATACCTAACTCCCTCTGTAGTTCACATAGAGAGAAACAACTGTAGCTCATTATCCCATCATAAATCAGTAGGAAGAGTCACTCTCTAATAATGCTTGTTTCTCATTAAAATGTGTATGTACATGTTGGAGCCTGATTCTGCTTTCCACCAGCTAAAGTCCAAGCTTCATTTTCCATCCTTGTTCAGCAAGAATCAGGTAGTTTGTTCGCTCTGCCACTGTTTTCCTGGCTCTCATTGCCTTCAGGCAGGGTTCTCCAGTTGGGCCATGGACACTGCTCACTTCTGGAGATGGGTGTCAAATGCAGGGTTTTCCTCAGGAAGTGAAATGGCATTTCAGAGACAGTTCACATCAATGCTTTAGCACCTGCATGACTCTCGTCATGTTTCAAGGGGGACTAATGACCTCTGTGGAGTCTTGTTTTCAGGGCTCACAAGTGCATGGAGACCAAGGCTGCTGGTACAACTGTCTTGTTTGAGCAAACATCCAGCAGTGCCTTCTGAGACCCATCACACTGGCACGTGGCTGAACAGGGTGCTTGCTGCCTTGATGTCTGCTAACAGTGTGGGTCCTCAGAAACACAAACAAGTGACAGGTCCTGTAGGATTCTTTGAGGAGCACCCACATTTAATGCACTAATAAAAGGCACTGTGGAAGTGGTAACCATGAGGATGCACCCTAAACAGATACATGGAGTGGAAGAGGACAAGCTGGCCAGTAAGCTGTGAATTTGTGGGTTGGTTTCTGATAGGAAGGGCAGTAGGAGGGAAAAGAGCTTTGAGGAAGAGGCTGTAGCTGAAATCCTGTAGCCAGGATTTTTAGTTTTTCACAGCTCTGAACTAACAGCTGCAGCACAGTCCTTGCCAGCAGTGTAATTCCCATACCTTTATGGCTCTGAGATGGTGTTGCATCACATGTAAGTGGGAGTCTGTGTTTGAAAAAGCCTCATTTTTGCTCTTGTATAACCATTCTTCACCCCACAGAGGTTGATGTCTGGAGGAAGATAAATGCCTGCCATGACTTCCTGACACTGGATGTGATTAATGCTTGGTTTTGTTGCAGATACTCCGATGCCCCTGGGCTCCATGGTGATTAACAGCATCTCAAAGCTGTGCCGGCTTGGTGGTTCCTCTATGTACACTCTGCCTAGCGCTCCAACTCTTGCTGACCTGGAAGATGACACAGATGAGGAAGGTAAGGCACAGTTAACAGGCTAGAAAACCTGCTCTATCTCATCCCTTTTGTTCTATTAATGTTAGAATATAGCGCAAGGTATGTGGACCAAACACTTTTCCACCAGGTTCCACCAGGAGCTCCATCAGAGCTCCATCCAGCATAGTCTTAAACACTTCCAGGGTTAGAGCATCCACAATTTCTCTGGGCAGCCTATGCCAGCACTTCATCACCCTCACACAAAAGAATTTTTTCCAATATCAAATGTAAATCTGCCTTCTGTCAGTGTGAAGCCACTCCCCCTTATTCTGTCACTACATATTCTTGTAAAAAGTCCCTCTACATTCTTTTTGTGGGCTCCCTTCCACGTACTGGAAAGCCACAATTAGATCACCCTGAAGCCTTCTCTTTTCCATGCTGATTAAATCCAATTCTCTCAGCACCTCAGCTATCCCCCATGGCAGGGAAATTGGAACAAGATGGTCTTTAGTGTCCCTTCCATTCTACAATAAATCTACATCACTCCAGGCTGATGGGGATTACTTGGTCTAGCAACCTGGTCTAGAGAAGGGTGTGCCTGTCCCTGTCAGGGCAGTTAGAGCAAGATGATCTTCCAGGTCCCTTTCCAACCCAAACCATTCTGTGATTCTCTAATTCTCTGTCTCCTGGGCTGGATCTATTACATATCCTATTAGTTCCCTACTGCCTTGGCAGGTACATCTGTGTGCTGTGAATGTCATGGGGATTAGTGTTATCTGCATCCTCTTTTAATAGGCCTTTTCCCTGTTTAAACTTTCACCTGAGCCTTGCTCCAGTGATCCAGCTTCCAAAATCCTTGTGTGCTTAAGGTGTTAAATGAACAAAAGATAACAGGTTTTGTTTTGGTAGTGAAGACAGCTGGAATTGGAGAAGTAACTGGTATGTACATATAACTATGAGGCTACCCTGCCTAGAAATGCTGGGAATGCTGCTATTTGGAAAGAATAAAAAAGAAAAAGAAAGCCCACTCATTTTGTCAGAGCTCTCACATCCACCTGGAAAAAACAAGAGGATAAGAACACAGCCAGGTGTCACACCAATTTCTTAAAGGAGTGCTATTTGATTTCAGTCTTGTCTCTTACAGACAAGACCTCTGTAAGCTCTTCCAGCTCCTAAATGTGGCTGAAAGTAGTTTTGATATTGTTTGGCTGCAGTCCTGATCTTCTAGAAATGCTCAGTGATGGTTAAGGGTCTCAAGTTGAATAAGAGTCAGATGTGATTGTGGAGAAGGATGCTGATGTCACACTGGAATGTATGGAGAAATAAATATCTCTGCAATTTCATTGAAGTCTTGTCCCAAGACTCCCTGTCCTCCTTAGAAAAAAAATGAATCAGGACAAAAAAAGGAATCATTTATGCAACAGAAATAATGGGCTTCAGTTGTAGCAAGGAAGATTCAGGATCCATGAGGAAAACTTCTAAGTGATAAATGATGGATTTGGGTTGAGTACCTAGAGATTGTGCCTGTGCCTTCTCTAACACTGAAGAACTTTAAGAAAAGATTAGACAAACCTCAGGGGTGACATCTGTAAACCTTGACTCACTTAATGCCAGGGAGGAAATAGAAGTCAGCTTGTCTGTTTTCAGCCATCTAATTTTGACTCTGTGGTTTGTTTTCCTAACAAAGATGAAAATTTTTCTCACTTTTTCAGGTTTTTTTGCTTGGTTTTCTTTTAAACATAGGGAACTTAATAATTTCCAAGAAGTATAAATGTAATTGTTTGATTCAGTTCTTCATCAGCTGATTTATTAATGTATAAGACAGATAGGCTTTTTGCAACTGAGTCACAGTCGGTTTTCCAAACATGTTTCATACATTTTTTTCCTTTGTTTCAGGTAATGGAGACAAGCCAGAGAAGCCTCACTTTGATTCTCGTAGTCTTATCTTTGAATTAGACCCATGCAATGGGAATGGGAAAGTCTGTCTTGTTTACAAGCATGCTGAACCAGGTAAGACTGAAAAAAGAAAAGTTAGCTATCTCTTGTTGTGGATTGTATCTGAAGGTCACATGTGGAGAGTTATCTTGTATTTCTGGTCTTCTTTGCTATTAGTAAGTGAAATTTTTACTGGGATGTCCTGTCTCCACTGAAGTCAGGAGCTAAATCTTAACTAAATCTAACACTTTCACTCCTTTTAGTGTTGGAGTCTGAGTTATAACTTATGATTTCTGCATGCATAGAAACAGGGAAGTATTCACATGTGACCTACAGACAATTGAGTTGAAATAACACAGAGCTCCACTAATCCAGTTACTTGAATGTCTTGGAACAAAGCCATTACATTTTGATGAGAAAGGGTATAACTCTGCTTGGAAACAAAGTGTAGATGACAAAAAAAGCTGCGACAGAATTAGACTGGGTCTTCCACCTTGTGCACAGATGCTGGGTCTCGAGGTGCTAACTAGGCCAAAATGTTAATGGGAAGGTGAGAAACGGGAGCAGAGTTGTTGTTTTGACAGATACAGAGATAGCTGTTATCAGTTAGAGAGTAGTGAAACACCTACGGCACTTGTAGAATAGTTGTCATCTGACACAGTGCACAGGTCACTAGATGTATGTGTGTTTACTATGTAGGATTGTGTAATTGCAATATACAGGTTCTTAAGAAAAATCCTGGGTTGTTATCTTGTGCTTTTCATTGTGTGTGACTACAGCTGCCATGGCAGGAAGTTCTTGTCCTTTTGCCCCTCGCCATGTTAGTGATTTCAGCACATGCAGTTGATAACCTGGGCACGGGAAGGAAGCATTGGTTGCAGGTGTCAATGTCAACAGAGGGGCAGTCTGTTTAAATGACAGTGTTCAGCATCTCAATCTCCCAACAAAAATCCTTCTTTTTATGCTACAAAGGATGTCACCACCAGAGAAATATTTGATCGCTGTGGAAAGATTTTGCAAAATGTGTTTTTGTTGGCAGCACATACTACTGTGACTTCCAGACTCTGGACTCTATTCAGTAGTCCAGATCACTGACAATTGAGTTAGTTGCTTTTTACTTTGTGGGGCAGATAAATGTTTGCCATAATTGTACTTTGAACATATACTACAAAGTTGCTGATGTCCAAGAATATTCCATGTAGCATGTCACTCCCAGGTTGTGAAGGAACACATTCATTGTCCAAGCATTGCATTCATTGTCCAGCACACAGCTAGTCAAATACCCCATGCAGTGGGTGAACACTGGGTGATGGATATGACACAAAAGATTATAGTAAATAGGGCTAAATAGTAAATAGTCATCACATCAAGCTGATAGCTGGTCACTAGTGGGGTTCTGAAAGGGTCCATCTTGGGCTCTTCAGTGCCTTCATGAATAGCTTGGACCCAGGACTGGAAGGAGTGCTTAGTTTGTCCATTATATTAAACTGGGAGGAGTTGATGTCTCCCTCAAAGGCCTTGCAAAGTGACCTCAGCAAATTAGAGAGATATGCAACCACCAACTGTATGAAGTTTAACAAAGCCAAGTTCTGGATTCTGCACCTGGGCTGGAGCAAGCCTGGTGGTACATGAAACAGCCCTTCTGATGAGTGTGTTGTGTCTCCACCTCACAATGGCCAGAGGTTAAACTTAATACTGCAAAGCAACAGTGTAATTTGTGCTTGTTTTATTCTAGTGGTCTCCCCAGACACAGAGATCTGGTTCCTGGACAGAGCTCTGTATTGGCATTTCCTCACCAAAACCTTCACAGCCTACTACCGCCTGCTCATCACGCACCTGGGTCTCCCCCAGTGGCAGTATGCCTTCACCAGCTATGGGGTCAGCCCCCAGGCCAAGGTAGGACAGCAGAGTCCAGCCTGTCAGTAATCCTGCATAAGTATAGACTGGAAAAACATCTTCTCACCTTTTGGCAAACTGTCTGTCAGCTCAGGGGGGCCTCCCTGCTGAGCCATGGAAGGGACCACAAGTTTTTTCCCTGTAACATGTAAACAGTCATTTGTTTCACTATAATTTGAATTCACTACTATAGTGTTAACCGTGCTTTCCTCTCAGAAGTTGGGCCTTGATAAAAATTATGACCAAAAAACGGCAATTTCAAGTCCTAGAGGTAGTTACAGAAGACCTCTACATAAACCCTTGTGAGCATTCCAATCATTTATTATTATTATTAAAATTACTATTCTGCCTTGCCAAAATCCTGCTATTAGAGGCTTCTGCTGTTCTTCTGTGTTTGACAGGGCCTTCAGCCCTATCCTTCCTCCTGTGAGAGATCAGGGGATGGAGCTGATGATCCTACTGAACACAGCTCGTATGCCAGCACAGTGTCTGTGCACTTTGGCAAGGTCTGCTGGGACTGGAGTGTCGTGCACTTCAGCCAGACACAACAGCTGTCTTACCAGCATGAGATTCCCTGGTCCTGTGTGCACATCAGAATTACTAAAATCACTCCTGACTTCCCATCAAACAGTGGCTGTAGAATTTGGTTCTTCTCATTCCTGATGCCTTTCCTGTTACACTGCACTGGACTTTATCAGTCAAGGGTGTGGCATTGTGCTCTGCCTTTCTGTAACTTTCCTGCCATAAATATTTTATTATGTTCAGTACATTTGCAAACCTTAAGGGGAACCATTTGTATATTCCCTAATCATTTGCAGCCCCTGTTGGTTAAAATCCTCCTAGTTTGTTAACCATTATCATTTTAAAAGTTTCAAAGGGGGTATATTAAAGCTGTTTTCCACTAAGCACTACATTAATAGATGATTATCTATATTTTGGTATATATATATAGAACTTCTGTATGTCCTACTCAACACTTAGCTGATGGTTTCACTGTGATTTGTAATACCTTAACTACTATAGTTTTGTTTCTGACTTTGTTAATGGAAAAATAGAAAATCAGAAACAGAAACAGTAAGACAAACAAACTAACACAAAATTCTTTGTGTAAGGAGCTTAAAAATTCATTATTTTATGTGTGAAGAGAGGGAGGAAGGTTCCATTTTGAGAAGTTCAACTAGTTGGTTTTCAGTTTATAAGCACATATAAATTCCAAAGATTTTTTTTAATCCTTTCTGCTTATCTGAATCTAAATAAATGGCGTTTAATCTCATCCCCTCCTTTTGCTTTTCCTCCTGTTTCCTCCTGATTCCTCCTGAATCCTCCAGGATTCAGTCTTTATAAGAATTACACTGCAGGAAAGGTGGTGTTAGGATTGTGTCTGGTTCTCCTCTTCCTTATCTGGAATGCAATTCCAGGACTGGGGCTGTAGCCAAGCCTTGTGTATGCTTATCACAAGCACTCTTCCAAGTCATGTAAACTGCAAACTGATAAGTGGCATAGGATTAAGATCCAGTCTTGGGGAAGATGGGGAGCAAGGTGGAATTGTCTAACTGCAGTTTGAATTTAACCTGTTCCTTCCCCACCATCCTGCCTTTCAGCAATGGTTTAACATGTATAAACCCATAACCATCAACACAGCGCTCCTGTCTGAAGAGGCAGATTCCTTTGTGAACAAGCTGGACCCCAATAAGGTATTTAAATGCAAGAACAAAACTCCAGTGCTCAAGAAAAAACAGCCTCCACAGCCACCAGGCTCCCAGAAGAGTCACACAAGCATGACCTCTGCCAAGACATCCTCACTAGCAGGGAATTCTTCAAGGAAGTGAGCCTGCTAGATCTGACCCTGGACAACATTTGCAATAAGCTTTGATGTTTTCTGCTGCAGAGTCTCTGTGGCCCAGACCAAGTTCCTCGTGCATGAATAGATGTGCCCATGGAAAACACATTGCAGCGCTTGCATGAAATAGAGCTGTGATGTGGATGTAGTTCCTGGAGGCTCTTAAAAAAAATTGATACATCAATTTTATTCCCTTCTGCTACTTGCAGCATGTACTTTTCAGAGGGCATGAAGAAACCTTTGATGTCACTGATCCAAAGGGAAGCATTTGTTCCTGTACAACTGCAGCAGTGAAATGAAAGTAAATATAATTCACTGTAACTTTAACCAGACCCATGCTGAAGTAGAGAGTGTGAAGATGTTTCTTCCATGTCCTTTGAAAGAAAACTATCCTGACCTTGCATGCTGTGGGAGCAGGCTGGAACCCACTGAACAGAGAAGTATCTTTCCCTCGACATAGAATCAAACTCTGCACTTCCCTTTGCTTCATCCAACTTCTGCTCTGAGATTCATGGTACAATGGGACTTGAGACTTCCATGTCTCTGCATTTGCCACTTGCTCTGCAGCCAGACCACTTTTTGGCCTTCAAGCTCCTCCTAGATTGGAAGGCAATATGTATATTGTATTTGCCATCTGGGAGAGGTGTGGCAGTTATCTCCTGGTAATTGGGCAGTTTTCTTTATCTCTTCCACAAACCAGTCCTCCTTCCTGGGAGATATCTGCTGTTAACGGGCCATTGAGTGTCACTGCATGACTGATAAAAATTACGTCAAGCGTCCCATTGTGAGCTGCTTCACCCAGGGAGAGGAGCCAAGCATTCCTACCTGGATATAATCTGAGATTTTGGGGCACCAGAACAGCCTTTCCACTGGATTCCCAGAGAAGCAGCTGCCTTTTCCACTGGATCTGCCGAGGAAGACCAGGCCCATCTACACCACCACTGTATCTTCAGAGGAAGACTGCACCTTTCTACAGGATCACTGCTCCAACAGAACCACACCTGCCACTCCAGGACTGCAGCCACCATTCCAATTGGACTGCTGCCAACACCCTGCCCAACAGGGTGTCAGGTGATATTCTGACTCTATCAGTGTTGTTTTGTATTACTGCATTGTTTATTTTATTTTTATTTTCTTCCGTAATAAAGAACTGTTACTCCTGCTCCCATATCTTTGCCTGAGAGCCCCCTCTTAATTTCAAATTTATAACAATTCAGAGGGAGGGGGTTTACAGTTTACAGTTCAGGAGAGGCTCCTGCCTTCCTTAGCAGACACCTGTCTTTTCAAACCAAGACAGTGCTGTATCTTTTCAGATGGTGACATGATTTGCAATAATCCTGAAGCCAGAAGCTGCAAAATCCTTTGTTGCCTCCCTTTGTGGGAATTGCTGAGCACAGAGTCAATGGTGTTGAGTCCCGTCAGCCAGGAGGACCCCTTGGTTTGTCACACATTCATTTGCAAAGCTGACCATTGAAACAGACACTTTTCTGTTGAGCAGGATCTCACCAGGGGCCACTGAGATCCTGCAGCCTTAGAAGCCCTGATGCTGTTTTCTATACTGTAATTTTTCATGTTAGAACTGCACTGTAACCCATTCACTGCTGGTTTTCAGTTACTCCTGTTTGTTTCCATTACTTTTCTATGCTATTCTGTCTTCCAAATACACTGGAATCATGGTAGCACCCAATACATTTTGTGCCTGAATATGGAAATCAAAATCACTGTCTTCAAGTAAGCATTGACTATTTAAACAGCATCATCTCTAATTTTTGAAAAACCACCACATAATTACACAAGACAAACCTACCTCACAGGGATGTTGTGAGGCTTTCATGGGTGTTTGTATGGGATGAAGCCATGCTGTAAGTGCTTAATAGTATTTTAATAAATATTTGAATATTTTCCTCCAAAGTGATTGGGTATTTGAAGATGCTTTGGGGAGCACATGGGCATGGGATGCCAATGCAAGAGCAGTGTTCAGGATGGATTGTTTGGGGTGCTTTTTCAATGCAGTAGAGAATCTCTCCCTGAGACAAGATAGGTTACAGTGCTTTTAGCTTATCCCTCGTGAGCTACTCAGAAACTCCCAATTTATTTCATAGAGGCCAGAAGACTGAACTTTGTGGCAGCTGTTCTGCTTCTGCCCTGCAGAAGTGCAAAGTCTCTGCAGCCACCAGCCCCTGCTCAGGTGTATTTTGCTGCTTCCAGCACTGCCAAGGGCCCACCTTCAAATGCCATTGCCTGGCAGCCACTGTCTGCCACCCCCAGATGACAAGAAATCCTCCAGTGCACCCTCTGAAGCCCATGTGCATCTGGAGACAGGTGAATCTCTTCTAGCTGCTCCCCTGACATAAAGTGAGCTCTAATGAGAAAGCACATGTCAGTACTTCCCACCCAAGGCCACAGCAATGTCTTAGTTATGCTTTCAATATTGGGATGGGAATGACCATTAAATCCAGTAAATGCCCTTTTCTGGAATTCTGTGCAGTAGTGACGTTCTGTCACTTCCTGCTCTTGGAGAACTCTGTGTTGTTTGTTCTTGGCACCCAGCCCTGGGACCGCAGTTATGTGCTTGGCATACATACCATACTTGCTTGAGCACTTTTTAGAAAAGTTAAGACCGTTGTCACCCTCCTGGGAACAGGCAGCTTCTGATAGTGTTCTGCCTCTAATCCAGTGACACCTCAAACTTGTAAGGCTGTTGCAGGCCCACTTCCTCATTCAGATGGAGGTAGCAGAATTACTGCAGCCGCGGGGCAAGCTCTTACATTTCTCATGCATTCAGAGCAGGAAAAAAGTATGGGGGGGCCAGTTAGTTCAAGATTTTGGAGACACTGTCACAGAAGTTCTCTGACTTCTTTCCTGTGGTGGTAGTTGGTGTAGCTCAAGTCTAGAGTGTCAGTACACACATGGTTCTTTCCTGACAGCAGGTTCCAGCAGAACTGTGGCAGGATTCAGGAGACCCTGTAGTTTAGTTTAGTAATTTTTCAATGCTTCCTGAATGTTCAGATCAAAACCAACAAAATAAAAAACAAGCACAGAAAAACCCCAAACAACCCAACTGGTTCATGTTTCTATTTTACAGTGTCCTTGTTCTTCTCTCTTCTGTGCTTTTCCAAACTAGGTGTTTGTTAGGGTGACAGATATGCAAATGAAGCAAGCCTAGGACCCTGGTCCATCCCTGTAGTATCTGTGTCTTACCAAACAATATTCCAGATCAAAATTTATGTGTTAATTGACTTAATCATGTTGTATCTACCACTGTTGATGCCTGTCTTTTGATTTATATGAATATATGCGTATCTGGAGACTTGTAGCTCTGCTTTGCTTTTCTTCAGAATATGATGATTGAGAATATGATGATTTTTGTTTTGGGTTTTTTTGGTTTTTGGTTAGGGTTTTTTTTGTAGATTTTTACACAGGGAAATTGAATAATTCCTTCAGGTCACAGCCAGGTCTTGCCCTACATAGGTCTTCTCAATATCTCAGATACCAAGTTTGTCTGTTTAAGCAGAGTAGGTTTACTGAAATCTAGTCCCTCATCCCACCAGCGTGATGGACAGACAGATGTGCCCTTCACATATGTCATCACAGCACATGGCCATCACAGTTGGGAAGTCTCCGTGCCTGCCTCATCTTTCTCAGGTTCAGCTTCAGGCGGGATGTGAAATTCAATGCAGAGTTTGTAGAGTAGAACACCAAAAAGACTTCCAAGAGTTGGAGCTGTGACTGGGATCCACCACCAGCAATGATCAGCCCTAAAATGAAGCACAGAAGAGGCAGCTGGTGAGCCAGACTGGAACCACTGCCCTGCCACCACATCCTGCTGGGGCAGGAGTGAGCAGAGGAGTCTGTCCCACTCCAGGCACTAAGCCTACAATTGTCTTAGACAAATCTGCTTTCCCCCCACATAACTGCTGGAGGGAAGGTAATTTTCCCCATCAGCATGGAAAGGCGGCTCCACACTGCAGGTTTCTTGTTCTCCAAAAGAAATGGGCTGTGTGGTCTTGATGAGTGGGACTCTCAGACACACACAGGCATTTTGCCTTCCTGTTTCCAATAAAATCTGTGACTCCTCTGCTGAGCTCTTGAATATATTTTCTGGGAATTTAAGGAAAGTGGGCATCCAGGACAGGAGACTCTGGTAATGATTTCCCCATAGGAAAAGCCGTAACATAACAGCATCTTACTAGACAGAGGAAGGCAAGGTTTCATGTCCAAATTCAGACTCTAAATTTAGAAGACCTGTTCAGCAATCCACCTGCATTCCGGTGAGCTGCATTCTGGCTCTCTGCTCACTGAAAAAACCAACTGGATCTCCAGTGAACAGACAGACAATTTGGTGCCCAGACTGAGGTATCTGCGTGTCAAGTTGAATCCCATGCTGGAGAATTGGTGTACTCCAAATTTTGTGTACATAATACAGAAGGCTTGTGTAGGCACAACCCTCCCACTCTGCAGTGCTACCATCACTTGGCCCAGAGAAATAAGGCTTCATGACACATTTTATCTTGTGCTTATCTCCTCCCTTGGCAAGCTGAGAAGGGTAAGAGCAAAACAGGTCACTCACGAGAAGACTTCCATTCCCCAGCCAGCAATTGCCGTGAAGATCCGTGGGGGCAGGTCCCTGGAGGGGTTTATGGCATAGCCTGTGTTCAGCCCCATTCCCAGACCAATGCCCACGACCAGGATACCCGTGAGCATGGGCTGAGCGCCTTTGACAGCTGCGTTGTTTTTGTCATCATGGATTACTAGAATACCCAGCATCAGCATAACTGTTGCTGTAAACTGCGGGAGCAGAAAAGGGAGAAGAACATGTCAGGAGAGAGGATGGGGATGGTTGAAAGATCCTGCTCAGCAGAGGAGAAGAGACTTCCCAGAATGAAGGAGCAGATGAGATTCATGATCTGATCAAGGCAGGAGGGATCCAAATATTACTCCTTCCCCACAGGTAGACTGAAGAAAATTCTTTTCTCAGCAAAAACCTCATCACCAAGACTGATGATACAAACTTCTGAGCAAGGTCATCTGTCTCTATCAACCAGTCAGGGAAATGGTTTATTTTAAGTACATTCTGTCTAATAAGAGCAGAGCCATAACAAACTGCTCATGAGACAAACCTGATCACCTCTAGAGGAAGTGATGTTTTGTACAGCCTGTATGCAGATATCAGATTCTCACCTGGGAAACTGAATTTCCCATCAGTGACTACATAGCTGGCATTTGTAGATTTGCAGTGCCAGGACATCAAGAAGCATGGTTTTGATAGAGGTGATGACACCTGCCTCTTTCTGCTTAGAAAATGCAGCTGGAGAGACTTGGACTGCTTGCACAGACACCAGCAAAAACAGAAAACCAGAAACTGTAGCTTTTGGCAAGGCACTGTCACTCTTATTTTCTTTCTTTTGCATCAAGGACCCTGGTCCACAGAAGGGTGAGGGGATCCACTCCCCCCCTCTAGGCTCTTTCACCATCCTCTTCATCATGCCCAGGCAGGAGTTTTATCAGCTCAGAGTCCAAATCACAGGCTTCCAAAGATTTGCACTGGAAGTGAATCTTCCTTCCCTAATGTCTCAGTGTCCCACATCCCCATGAAGAATCCCTTCCCTATTTCTGGGCATCTGGACACTGCACCATAAGCTGAGAATCCACTGCACACAGTCTCAATGGATCTGTTCAAACACAGAGTTCAGTCCAGGCTGTGCTCATGTGGAGACAGTCCCAGGCTCTGTGCTGGGGAGGGGCAGCCAGCACAGCTGCTGAGGAGCGTGGAGAGGGTGTAGGATCCAATAAAGAAAGGAAAGTGCAGCCCAGAACCCAGAGGAGATGACTGGTGATACAGCTCAGCTTCTCGCTTCTCAGTGCTTGAACAGCATGCAGGGAATTTGTCTGGGGAGCCCCTGGACCAAGCTGTGGAGCAGCCTTCATGGATTAGGCTCTGGGATCTTACCTTTCAGATGCCTGCCTGGATGCTGGGCTCCTTGGGAAAAGAGGTTGTGGTTGTCTGTGCATGTAGGGCATGGGGACCTGTAGCAGCCCTGCACCACCCACCTTCTCCTGGCCCACAACAGCCATCCCCACTGACCTCTGAGAAAAAGGCTCCCTGCAAGGACACATTGGAAGCAGGGTACGTAGCGAAGATCATTGCAGTGGCAGTTGGTCCTGTCACTGTAAAGCTTCCATTGGTGTAGTCATAAAGAGCATCTAGGAGAAGTGGGAATTATGGAAGTTAGCACAGCATTTCATCCCACAGGACACGCACACAAGTGCACCTGTTGCAGCCAGCACAGACATTAGGGAGAAGGGAGGCAGTGGAAGATGTGATGGAGGTGACACACTCCTCGCAGAGCATGATCTCACCAATGTGTTACCTACAGACTTTGGTCTGCACTCACTTCTTTACACCTTTCAGCTCCCTATTCCTGCTCCAGGAGTCTGGGGTGGCCTGGGTGGTCTGGATGCACTAGAGGTCTCCAACCATCTGCCCCTCAGAGACATGCTAGAAACAATGGGTGGTGGGCCTCTGCTCACAGCTCAAAACCCCAAATGGCTGCAAACCTGAGCTCCACAGAGCAGTAGAGTCCCCCCAGAGCTCCAGCAGCACCTAATACAAGGTTCATGAAAATAAAACCCCTGCAGACCTGGAAACAAAATGCTGACAGAATGCAGCTACTGCCCTTCTGCTGAAGACAGGTCTTGGGAGTGGGAATGCCCTGAGTAAAAGGAGCTGTGTTCTCTGGTTTGTGCGTATCCTTCCCAGAGGTGTATCTGGGACCTGCTCTGAGCTTCAGTCTCTCCCACAACCCAGGGGCTTGCCCTCCTCGCCCAGAAATCATGCTGGGTACTGCAAAAGGAAATCTTTTGACAACACTGTGGGTTGACTGAAATTATGCCTACAGCAACCTCTGCGATAAAAGACATGACCCTACCGTAGTAGAGAACAAAGACGGTGGCTGCTGCCAAAAAGGAGCCCAGGAACTGGCCGAACACATAAGCTGCAGCCGTTTTCGGAGAGATGTTTCCTATAACACACTGTGTAATTGTGATGGCAGCATTCATGTGAGCTCCTGCAAAATCACAGAAAAGAGAGGCCTCAACACTGATGCAGATGTTTTGGAACATGTCACATGGTGGATGCCCCATCCCTAGAAATATTTAAGGCCAAGTTGGACAGGGCTCTGAGTAATCTGCTCTAGTCGATGTTTCTGCTCTTTGCCGGGCATTGGACTGGATGAACTTTAAAAGGTCTCTTCCAACCCAAACTATTCGTTGGTTCTGTGCCCCATGCCTCACAGTAATCACCCAGACAAAAGCCAGAACAACAAGACTCAGGTCAGGGTATTGCTCCTGCACAAACACAAAATGATCCTTTCTTTCTCTACAGCTGAATCATGCAGGTAAAAGAGCTCCTAGCTTATCTTCTGAGAATTCTGTAGACCACAGGCTGCCTCACCTGTCAGATATACCTCTCTTGGGAAGGTATGAGTTTCCCTATGAGCTTCTCTCTACTGAGCTTAAAAAGAGACCATACTTCAGCACATTTTATGTAGCTAGTGGTAGATAAGGACCTTGTTTTGATGGGACACTTTCTGTGGAGGAGGTTGGTATCACAATGGTGGTTTTGAAGACTAAGCGGGTCTGGGTCTCATGCCCTTTGATGCAAACCACATGTGTTCTCCAGGCCTCCTATCCCCAGAAGTCTAAAGAAAATATTTATTTTTCCTGCTTGATAGGTATAAACTTTGAGGGTCAGTAAATGTTCCAGCCTTCATGACCATCTTCTACTCCAGAATGACAAAAGGGGTAAGATGTAGACACCCATCAAAATGCAGGACAGAGTGAAGTGGAAGTGCGTGTACCACCTGCTACAGTCCAACAATCACAAATGGAATGGGGCTGATCCCTTCTTAGACCCTCTGCTCTTTTGTGGTATGGCCAGCCATTTCAGAGACCACAAAAAGCATCTTGTGACACAGATGAAGCCAAATTACTATGTCAGGAAGGTGTGAAGTTTGTTTTGTAACCATACTATTGCTGGCTGAGCTGAGATCCCTTCTGCACTGCCCTCTGCCCTCAACAGATCAGCTCCCTCTCAAGAGTCACTTGGGACTGTAGGACCTACTTTCCTCAGTCTGCTTTCCCCAGAGTGTTTCCACCAGCTCCAAAAGGATAAGAAAATCAAGAGCTGACTGCTCCTGACTGCTCACATGGAAAATTTTTCCTTTCCAAGACAACCCCAGGTTTGGACCTCTGTCTACTCCAACAGTTTAAGAGCAAGGAGTTGCTTTTAACCTTCTGCCCATTAGGGCCCTTAATTTTTTTCTCTTGGTGCAAATGAATGCAGAAATTGCAGAAGGCAAAGGTAATGCTCTTGTCATGTGATGGATGCCACCTCATGGCCCCAAAACACCACTCCCCAAGTTCATGTGAGGCATCTGTGCATGGGTGTGCGTGATAAGGAGAAAATTTGCATAGCATTTCTATTGCAACATCAGCAGTAAGCTCTCCTTCGCAATAAATTATTTACTTCCCCCTAGGTTGTATCAGCAGCAGATTTTGGGAGCTCCCTGTCCATGGGCTGTGTTGGCATGTCCCAAATGAGGGAGCTGCTGAACCCTGGCTCTGCTGTCCACAACAGAAGGGGCTGGCCAAACCTCCTCCCCTCTCCGTGTCCCACTTGCCCTGTCACAGCTCAGAACACAAGCTGGGGTCAGTATTCTGTAGGTATGCTGTGCATGCCTTGTCCCCAGGCTCTCCTGCTTTTCATGCCTGGGGACTCTAGGATTGCTTTTTTTAGGTGAGGGCACTGCCCATGCCATAACACACCCCTCCACAGCCCACTCCTCCTGTTCCCAGCGCACAGGGCCTTTTTGGGACATGGATATGTCCCATGTTTGACAGTGCTGCTCACCAGATATTTTTCCAGCCGCATAGATACCCAAGGTAACGCCAATGCCAAATGCTATGTTGATGCTCAGATACTGACCAACATTTCCTTTTCCCAGTACCACTTGTGCCACACAGGACAAGCCAAAATCCTGTGTAAAAAGAAAGAGAGAAAGGAGTGTTAAAAGTATTCTTGTTGCTGTGGTAGACTGAGCTTCTTTGCTAGTTTTTCTACAAAAGTAATGAGTTCCTAAAGACAGGAAGTCTCTGAGGTGTCAGAAGACAAAGAACAGCCTTGCCCCGCAAAAACTGAAGTGATACCTGTGATTGGTGCCCATCAAACCAAACTAGGCACTCTTATTATGGTTGGGTATGGGGAGACAAACCCCAAACACTCACACCAAGAGCTGGGGCTCAGTGGGGTCATTCACACAGCCACACTGCAGATGTCTCTGCCTGAAACCAGGGGCATGGACTGGGGGAGCATCACCGTGGACCACTGGGAGAAAACATCCAAGGTGGACTGAAAGAAGGTGTGCAAATTCTTACTGTCCTTCTTTTCCTCGTGTGCAATTTATTGACTAAATATGTCATTTGGGCAGCACGCAGCTATTTGCCAAACTCGACTCTAATTTTGGTAACATTCAAGCCAAAGACAAGAAAGGAAATTCTGGTTTAACTTTTCCATTCAACACATATATTTTAAGGTTGGAAACAGCCAAAGTTTCAGTGGGTTTTTTTAGTGACTGAAGGAGAACCAAGGGAAAAAAAACTAGAAGTAAACACTCTTCAGCAGGAAAACACATATTCAAGACATTGCTCTGACCTGAAAGAGAGAATTCTGTTTCATGCTTTTGATGTGGTAAGAGTGGAAAAATCAGTTCTTTGCATACTCTTACACTGAAATCTAGAGAAGGACAAGGCAGCGCTTGAGGTTTCTGCCTCATAAACCACTGAGGGTTTGGAAAGTGTATCCTGTTCCTTGGATTGCATTGATGTTTATCCAAGGTGACATGTCTTTCAAAGACACGGAAGTCAATATGTTCTCCAGCACATAAACTTCTGATTTGGCTTGTACTATTTAGATGTGATTTTTTTCTGGCTACTCTGCCTGCATCCAAATTTTATCTCATGTGTCTGCTTCCCCTCACTGCTTTCAGACATCATCCAAATTCCCTGTTCCCCAGAGAGGCTGCTCTTCTTATCACTCCTGTAGACATAGACCACACTCTGTGCTCTGCACAGAGCTACAGCCCCCACAGTGTGAGCCCTTTCAGTCTGCCTCAGCAAAAGCCCCCAGAAACAGTTTGTGATGTCCCCTTAGCGTCTGCAAATAACACAAATTCTCTCTCTGGTTGTTCTATCTCTCTTTTTCATCTCTGATTTTTCCAAAGCCAGATACAAAAGACAACAAATGTATAAGGCTCAAGTTTTGCAGGAGAGCACACAGGTGCAGAGAGGGTTGCAGAGGAGGAGACATGACTGCGCATAAAGAACAATATCCTGAAAAAAACCCACAAGAGAGGACACAGAATCTGGTTTTCAGCACAGATCCAAACTTCTGTTTTCTCCCTGCATCCTCACAGCCCCAAAACGCCATTTATTTCAATTTCTTCTTCCCTAGTCCTTAGTCCTTCTGCCTGGTTCCTTTTACCAACACTTCTGTCCGTTAAACTGAGAGGCCCTGGGGTGAGTGTTATCATCCAAACAACAGCCATTCAGGCATCCTGGAGGTGCATCCAGAGCACAGCCTCTTGCACTGAGGGCCAAGGTGCTGCTGAGGAGTTGGGCGCTCTATACTTTGTTCTGATGCTGGATGCTGTTTGTCTTCAGCCCTTGATGGGGCCCATGGGCAGTGCCTTCCTTTTCTCTCTTCCCTCACATGGATCAGTGAAGGAAGAGCCAGTGTGAGCTGCAGGCTGCAAAACCTGCCTTGAACTGCCAGAGTGCAGAGTGAATTCTCCACCTCATACTGCTTCTCTGGCAGGACAACCCTGAAATTGTTCTTTGTCACCTGGGAACTTCTACCACCAAATAACAGAGAATGGAAAAGGCAAAAGAATTTGATAAAATGCTGCAGAGGAGTCATAGATATCTGTACTCTGACTTACTATGGGTGCAAAACTACCTGGGAGTGAAATTCAAACAGCTGGATGTGCAAAATTACATGATAAAAAGCAACCACACTCAGTACAGGCAGTTTTTGTCCTTGTAAATGAGCACCTTTCTTGGTACAGAAAGCTGTGTCAGAAGGTCCCTAAGCTTACCCAAATCTTAATTTCTTCCTCTTAAATCTCCAAGTGCAAGTTATTTAGGTTATGCCCAGCCTTTGCATGCCAGCCTCTGTCCAGTCTAAAGTGTCTCATCCCAGGCTAAGTCCAGGTGTGGCAAATTGGTACAGATAGATACTGGCCCTTCTCAGAGGGAGGATCTCATTCTGCTCTGCTGATCAAACACTCAAAATCTCTGGTCCCAATGGGTACTTCACCCCCACCAGCCCCTACAGTGACTGCAAAACCTTCCTAATCCTCTACCCAAACATTTCTGAAGCAGCCCACCAGCTCAAACCCACTTAATTATTTCTTTGTGAAACAGATCCCTCAGGCAAGGGGGCAGTTTATCTATGATTTACATAAGCACTGTTCGATTGGCAGCAAGAAAATCAAAAGTGAAATCCTGGCATGCTTCACACCCTGTAATTACATTTCCTAATGGTGGGTTGTGGTTCTGGAGAATTTCTCTGGGAAGTTCATTACCCTGGCAACACCAGGGGGAAGATGGATGAACGCTATTTTCATTTTGCAGCAGCTGTCAGTGATAGAAGAGGCTGGGTCTGTTCCCCAGACCGGTTCAGTTCCCCCCCAGCTACACCACACCTCTGGCACAGCAGAAGGAAAAGTGTCCATTCACTTTATGGGATCTTCTACAAGCATTGTGGACACTATTCTTTTGTTTCATTCCCAAACGCTTCCTCAATTTTCTCCTAGAAGAGAGCTGAAAGAGCAACATGTCCAGGAAGGGCAGTGGAGGTGGGAAAGGGTCCTCAGGAGCACAGGTTTGATGAGGAGCAGCTGCAGGAGCTGGGGATGTTCAGTCTGGAGAAAAGGAGGCTCAGGGAGGACCTGATCACTCTCTCCAGCCCCCTGACCAGGAGGGTGTAGGCAGGAGGGCTGGTCTCTTCTCCCATGCAACAAGAAACAGGGCAAAAGGAAATGGTCTCAATTTGTGCCAGGGGAGGATTAGACTGGATATTAGGAAAAATCTGTTCACCAGCAGGGTTGTCAATCATTGCAATAGGGTGTCCAGGGAAGTGGTGGGTTTACAGATATTAAATACATATAATACCTTGGAGGACATGTAGTTGGGCACTTAGGGACATGGTTTAGTGGTGGCCTCCACAGTGCCAGGTTAATGCTTGAACTCTTGAAGGTCTTTCCCAACCTAAATAATTCTGTGATATTTTAATTCTATCCCACCCACTTCCCTCACTACCAGCACCCACCTCCCTTTCCCTGCATTACTTTTTTTGCTCCAGAAGGTTTTTGGCAGATGGTCTGCCTGCTGGGAAACTGCCACCCCACCAAAGCAGAGGGGTGAGCAGCAGCAACCAACCCCTGGGGATGTGGCAGGAAACCACTGACCTTACACATTGCTGCCTTAAATGGCTGCACACACACACACACACACACACACACACACATATGCACAGACTCCTCCTTACCATGAGGATGAATGTTGATATTGCTTCTGCCAGCATCTGCCTTATGGTAATGTTATTAATCCTGAACACATTCTTGACCTTCGCCATCGTCTTGTTGCAGTAGCCTCTGCGCTCCTGTAGTGATGGCACACTTCACTGCACTGAGCCAGGTTACCCTTTGAAACTTGGCACCCTCTCTTCCCCCACAGACACCTTCTCCCCTTTGGTTAACCATGAACAAGCCAACAAAGCAGCAGCTAGCCTCAAAGTCTTTCCCCCAGCCCTCCCTCATATGCCATCCTATGAAAGCTCTATGGTAGGGATGCAATATTTCTGTTATGAGGGCATTGGTGACACCGTGCCTCTGCCCAGGAGAGCCTAACCCCAGAACACTGGAGCTGTCAAAAGCCTTGAGGTGGTCCTGATGTCTGTCTTTCTCCTTAACCTTTTCTACAGGAACTGAACAGGAATTTTGGCTCTGCTCTACATTGTAACCCATTGACTGTTTGTTTAAGCAGATTGGATTGGGACTGTTTGCCCATGCAAGACTAATGGGTACATCTTCTGCAGCAAGGATGCTCTGCCTGGAGCTGGTGTGCCCTGCTGTCTGCAGCTGGGAAGAGCACAGTGCATTGTTTCAGGTGGAATATTTGCTCTCATTGAATGCACCTGTGCATTCTGCAGATGCCTTCACACTCACAGAGAGCCTTGCCGCCAGCCACCCTGTCCATCCTCTCATACAGGGCAAGGAGAAACCAACCTCAGCAAGGAGAGGTGGCCCAAGAGATCTTCAGTCTTACCTGGCTGCCACAGCAGAACCATTGCTGTCCTGATTCCTCCTCCATCTCCTCATTCCCTCTGCCTATCTCCCTGCTCACCAGGTGCTCTTACCTTTCCACGGTGAAAAGGTTTTAATACCTTTGCTTAATCGTGGAAAAACATATCCACTGAACACTCAAGACCTTTTCCCTCAAGCCTTTTCTGGTTATTTGCTGGTTTTCTTCGCCTTCCTCTCAACCTGCTGCAGCTTCTCAGTGTGGCTCTGGAGGGGACAGCTCTGCACAAGTGTCAGCAGCTGCCCTGATAGGGACAGTGCGCTCTGCTCATGCTGCCCCTGGCCCTGCCTCCCTCTCCTCTACTGCATGAGCTTTTCTTTCACCCACAGGGCACCCAGCAGCTGAATGGAAGACCCTGGGAAGCTGATTCTCCTCTCTGCTCCATAGATCATTGTATGTCTTGTTGCAAGGAGAGTTTTATGTACTGGGGTAATCCCTCCTCCAGTGACAGATTAGCTATTGACCTTAGTGAACACCTGGCTAAATATGCAGTAAATTACTGGTCTGTCTCTGATACTGAGGATCATTTAATTATGATGGATGATAATCATGTTGCTTGCAAGGGTGTTTCTACAGCACATTTCTAGGTGGGATGGTTTCTGTCCTGTGGGTCTGTGGCCTGTGCTGCAGCATAATAAACCTTTCTAGGTCACTTCATCCTCTCCCATGCAAATGTTTACTGATGGAGCACAAAGCATGACTCCTGGACAAGACCCTCAAGTTTCTTCTGCTCGTGGTGATTTCCAGCTGACTTTACATGTCACCTGAAATCCTTGTGTCTCCACATGCTGGAGATCTCACAGCCTTTCTCTGATGGACAAGGTGTCAGTGGATCAGTGACACCCACAACTGGACCTACAACTTTGTTTTGTCTCCTGCATCTCAGGGAGCCTTCCAAGTGGATTCCTTCCCTGTGGGCAAACAGTGAAGCTGCTGTGTGTCTGATAGGCTTTGGCTCCTGCATTCAGGCATTAGTTGTAGGCATCTCAATATTCTGATTCAGGCTGAAAAACAGACAGCCAATTTCTGGGAACATTGGGTTCTGAGGGACTTGCAATCTCCTCAGGTTAAAACACAGTCCCAGTTTGCAAGAGAAATATTTGGTTTGGTGATAATATTCGCAGCATAATTCCCAATATTACCATCAAACTCTATAAAACTCCAGCTGCTTCTAGGAGCTTGTGCTTTTATACAGGTCATTCCACAAGATGGCACTGAGACATTAATTTCTCCCCTTAAGGTGTTCTGAAGGACTCCTCTGTTGGCTGCTGAAAATGCAAGAATCCTTTAATTTTGAGGTTCTGATGGCCATTTTGAGACATTAAAGTGACCTGCTAGTGTTCAAGGACTGTAAAAATAATGAAACCATCACCTTTTCAAAGGACTTGTAGGTCAGAGCACCTCTGCTCTCCAAGTACACAAAGTGTGTGAGCCTGTGCCTGAGTTTATAACAAGCAGAGAAAAATAGGCAGCTCCAAAGGGCAATTCTTCCTCACCTAAAATAAGCATCTGGTGCCCAACCTGAGTCTTGCTAGATACTGGCACTTTCCCTCCAGTGTCTGCACACAGACATGGAGTGATGGGCTCCAACATGCACCCCCATGACCGCCAGGTGGGCTGGACTGCCCCTTCTCCCTGCATCCAGACATGATGATCTTGAGCAAGTGCAAGCCAAGTGAGTCAGCCAAGGGCTGGATTGCAAATATCTGCCGGTTTCCCAAGAGCAACCTGCCCATACTTGCTGGGTTTCACTTACCCGCAGGGCTGACGAGGATCTCTGGGGTCACTGAACACTGTCCCCTACTGACACAGGCAGCCACACGATATCTGCTCTTTGGTGACCTGGCCACCCTGAATTTTAGTGGTAGATGATTGTTGCCCAACTTCTGTTGTTCTCTGTTACCAGAATTTGCTGCTCTGAAAATTAGACGCTTTACTCTGATTTTCAGCCAAATTCTCAAAGCCATTTGTCTATGTGCATCATTAGCCCATCACAGTCATGAGTTAACTTAGTTCTTGCGGGTGCTATTGCTTAGTGATCCTGTAAAGTTTGTTAAAGAGCATTGGCTGCTCATGCTTAGCTCCCTCCATACCACCTCCTGATGTTTGCTTTGATAACTTCACAGGTTGAAACTTCACTCAACAGTGGTCTGACAATGATTTTGCCACATTTCCCACTTCACATTAAGCAGCCAACTGCTAAACCAAACCCACTTTCCTCCCCAAGACAGGTGTGCTTTCAGCACTACTAATAAAAGTCTCAGTTTGGAAAGGAAAGTTTTGGCAGTCAATGTGCACTAACAGTTCTGGTGTTGATATCCAAGGTAATGAAGAATCAGGAGAAAAATGCCCTTGGGTCCTGCAAGAGCAGCCCTGGGAAGAATGAAGACCCAGGCAGTCCAGGGCATTCAGCAAGGAATAACTTCTCTGACTCAGTTTGGACAGTGCATGTGCTTCCTCTGCACCCAGGAGCTCATTTATCTTTTAACTGGGTTAATCAGCAGGTGGAACATTGCCACTCCATTCACTTCAGCCCTGCTGGTGGAGCTTTTTCCCCCAGAGGCCAAGAGGAGCATAAACAGGCAGCTGAGCAGAAGAGCTGCTCACCATGGGCAAGAACAGCTTGTTCCTCAATCTGACCAGATGAACATGGCACTAAAATATCTCCAGTGCCCTTCAGGAAGCAAGACCCAGTCAGAGATATCATAACAGCACTGGTATGGCCTTTGCTGTGCAGGACACAACCTGGAGCACCTGCTCCCTGTGGTCTCGGGTTCCACACTCATGGTCTGTCTCCTTCTCTTCTCTATGGATGGCAGGCCCCAAATAAGCCTCACACACCCCATGTGTCTCTCAGCAGATGTCTTTGCTCTCTGTATCACCACCCCCTCTCCATTCCCAGGATAGGGGCCTCCTCAGCCTTTCAGCTCACCCATTGTCCCTTGCCCGGAGGCCAGACAAAAGTTCATCACCTGCTTCTCTTCCATAAACTGAGACTTGTTCCAGTCAGAAGTGTTAGGTGGAGATCCTTGGTCATTCACGGGTGGGCTCCTGCCTCGGGCAGGGTGCTGCCCTGCCCAGCCTGCTACAGCTTCAGGGCTGCTGCAGCTACAGGGCTACTCAGAGAGAGGTAATCCATGAGGTAATGCTGTGAGCAGGAGCAGAATTGCTTGTCTTTGTTTGTCTTTAGGGGCAGAGCAGGGTTCTGTGTGATGGGGTTGCCAGGGGTGGTCCTGGTCTCATTGTTTGGCAACAGAGTGGAACCCTCCTGCTCACCAGGAACCCATCCACCCCATGGTGGGCCACACTCCTCCTGCCCTTGTCTGACTTATCACACAGGATGAAGTCATTCTCAAATAGAGCAAAGCATGATGGTTTTTGAGGCACCCACCAGCTTTGATCTGTGAAAATCCCTGGAAAATCTCCCCCACCCACAACTATTTAACAGAGTGAAATGGAGGCACAGGAGTAGATCAGGTCATAGAATCATGGAATGTCAAGGATTAGAAGGGACCTTAAAGAACATCCAGTCCCAATCCACCCTTGCCATGGGCAGGGACCTCTCTCACTAGACCAGGTTGCTCAGGGCCCTACCCAACTTGGCCTTTATGGCTGGCAGGGATGGGGCATCCACAGCTTCCTGGGCAGCTTCTTCCAGAATCTCACCATCCTCACAGTAAAGTATTTTTCCTAATATCTAGTTAATATTTCCCCCCTTTCAGTTTGTACCTATTACTCCTGTCCTATCACTACAGCTCCTGACAAAAGGTCCCTCTCTGGCTTCCCTGTGGGCCCTTCAGACATTGGAAGGTTCCTATGAGGTCTCCACACAACCTTCTCCAGGATGAACAGCCACAACCTTCTCAGCCTGTCTTTGTAGGGAAAGTGCTCCAGTCTTCTCATCAACTTAGTGGTCCCCTCTGGACTTTCTCTAGTAGTTCCATATCTTTCTCATGTTTGGGGCACCAGAACTGTAAGCAGCAGAGATCCCAGAAGATACCATGGGATTTCCAACAAGAACATGCTGGCTCCTCATCTGCCATCACCCCTCATTTCCATGGGTATCTTGTTCTCCTGACCTGTTCAGGGTCATGTTCCCACTCTACCCCTCTGTGTGAGAGCATCCCCCTGTGCTGGAACTTTGCTGTGGGGCTGCACGGGCCCAGGCAGAGAGCAGCAGACTCTGTGGGTTCAAGTGCTCTCTCTGGGCCTTGAGCTGCCTGCTCTGCTCTGCTTTCAGTCCACAGATAAAGTGGAAGCTGGGGAAGCCATGGGCTCACAGGACATCATCACCCTGGAGAAAAGAGCAGCCAGTCTTTCTCCTAGAGGAGCACAAACACCCACATTCTGAAAGGAGAGATTTAAGGGAAAAGGCTCTAGGCTGGAGGAGGAGACACTGGATCAGTGAAAGAGCTTTTGGAGTTGCATGGTGAAACCAGCACACTGCTCTGAGTATTTCCCTGCCTCTGACTGTACCCAGACACAGCACAGCATGCCTGAATCCTGATGGCCAGTTTGCAATGGGTTGGCTCTAAGAAACAGTACCACTGACAAAACCCCTTGTACTTCATCCCATGCTGTCTTTTCTGCCTCATCCTTTCCCCAGGCACTCCAGTCTGGAACGCAGGATGTTCTGCAAAACACACCAGCCCAGCATCCACCTGAGCAGCACCAAAAAGCACAAGCTTGTGTTGACATTCACAAGGAGCAGAACCAGAGCAGGGCCTGCTGACAATCACACAGCCATGCTCCCTCTGCTGCTGGGCAAGGCTGAGCCAGTAGCTCTTCACAGCCACCAGGTGCTTGAGGGTGAACTGCATCCATACATTCCACCCACATAAGTGAGGCCTGTAAGCCTTTCAAGAGATGTTGCTAAACCCATAGGGAGGCCATAGAATCACAGAATCATGGAACAGTTTATCTTTAGGGGCCTTAAACACCACCTCATTCCAACTCTCTGCCATAGGCGGGGTTCCACCTTCCCCTTCCATCCAACACAGGATGCTGAA